TGTTAAATGGTTCCAAGACTATTTAGCAGGCAGATCCCAATACGTGCGCATTGGATCCACCAAGTCATCAGCTCGCCCAATAACCCATGGCGTTCCACAAGGTGCAATACTAGCACCACTTCTGTTTTGCATCTATATTAATGATCTGCCAGGGAGCATACAATCGTGTAACCTTGATTCATACCTAGACGACTCAAAGCTTTACAAATCATTCTGCATCTACGACTTGGAACAGACATCTATAAATTTAGAGGCAGATCTACAAATAGCAGCCAAGTGGTGTTTGGAGCACCAATTACTGATCAATCCAGAAAAAACTAAATTCCTTGTAGTCGGTTCAAGACCCATGCTGCAGAATGTACCTACAGAAATATCGCTAACATTTTTAGGAAAGACTGTAAGACCTGTTTTATTAGCTAAAGATTTGGGAATCAATTTGGATTCGTACCTATCCTACGACGACCACATATCTAAACTCGTTTCGTCGTGTATGAGAAAACTATGTCAAATAAATCGCGTGAAGGATAGTTTCGATAATGAAACATTAAAATTGGTCATTGAGACACTTGTAATTAACAAGCTTCTGTACTGCTCTACGGTGTGGTCCAACACGTCATCCAACAATATCAATAAACTTCAATCAGTGCAGAACTTCGCGTGCAGAGTTATATCAGGGGTAGGAAAGTTCGATCACATAACTCCGGCGTTGCGCGAACTAAATTGGTTGCCAGTGGAAAAGTTATTATTGGAAAGGGATACTGTAATGGCTTACAAGTGTTTTAATGGACTTGCACCTGACTACCTAGTACATAAATTTATAAAGCGTTCGACATACATCATCGATCGACAAGAAATCATGACCTCTTGGACATCCCTCTGTATAAATCTGCTGCAGGTCAAAGAACATTTAATTACCGGGGTGTTAAAATATGGAATGACTTGGATGATAAACCAAAAAATATTACATCAATAACAATTTTTAAGAAAAAACTTAGGGAGATTTTACTAAAAGAATCCTATTAAATACATTTAATATTTCATACTCTTTGTACATATTTTAACTAATTTTAAATAAGTATATGTAACATAGGTAGTTTTAGAAGTAATTTATAGTAATTTTAATATGTAATGTAGTGTTGAAAAGCCCTTAGGGGAACACGCAATAAAGTATCTATCTATCTATCTATCTATTTATATACTCGCAAGTTGTGATCAACACTAGACCATACTGGTATACACAACTACGCTTTCTACTTGACAGGTTTAAGTAGCTGAGGAGATTGGAAATGTTTGGCTGACATGACAGTGTTGTCAAAACAATTTTAGTCGGAGACTCGTCATAATTTTCAAGTTTCTAGATAGCATTTAATATGGCTTTATATTTTAGTAAACACGAGTCATAATTAGCCCGTTATTCCATTCTGACCGTATCTAGCGAAACGTAGCCTATTTCATTGTTCCGATAGCATTAGAGCAGAACTAATGACTTATTTATAAACGCAAAGGAAATTTCCATAACATTTTCTATTTTGAAATGCGATATGCTTGGTAACCAGGCTGCAGGGATCACTTTTTTGAAATCAGGGACCATTTTACCGAAATCTGCTAGGCTCTCTCGCTGAAGCGTTCCGCACAGCACACCCAGGCATAAAACTTTTAAGACTTATTTAAATACATCAAACCAGCGAATAGAGAGAGAGCCCGGGACTAGGCCGAATTGAACCTAAATGGATGACATCTTATAGTGGCAATTAATAATGTGATTAGCGTTGCTCGCTTCCTGAAGTTGTGAAGTTATGAAATGAAATAATGTGAAGAAGTGAAATTATGCCTGCAAAAACTTTTCGCGCCTGGAAATTTTTCATCCATACTTGCTTTTTAAAATTTATTAACGTTGTCTGTTCATATAATAACACGAAATTATTAGATAAATGTGCATAAAACCAAGTATAAACTGGATGTTATATACTGCACATTTGAATGCCATACCTATCAAGTATCTTTTTGGCAGACGGCAGGTGCCAAACGGAATCATCCAGCGTTACAATGCTATTCTCATTGACATAATATTGTCATTTAATACTTTGGTATACGCTTTGTTCGTCTTACAACATAGTTTCATTCACAAACGCCACTATAGTTTTAGCACACAGCCACACGTCAGTTACTCCACAACAGAAAACCACTTCTAACCATCTATAATCTGGCAAGAAGAATATATTCTCGACATGGCAATATTTTCGACATGCCTTGACCGAGTGAAAGATTGGGCACGAAAAGTACGATCCGTAAAGCCATTTCACAGTTCGTACGGACCGTACGATCCGTACAAATCGACAAAGTTTAATGCCCTGACTTAAACACAACATCGCCATCGACAAAGTAGGTTCACGATCCGTAAATCATCTTCACGAACCGTACGGATCGTAGGGTCCGTAAAGCCATTTTGCAGTTCATACGGACCGTACGGATTGTGTTCAATGTTTTACCATCTTTACGATCCGTATACGTTCGACAGTATTGGACAACCATCGAGTACTGTGAGCATTATATTTCAGAACTAACTCCTGGAATAATCCCGAAAATTGCGTATATTGATCGAATTTTTGGTCATGGTTGTGGCAAAACATATTTGTCAATTAGAATTCCGTATTCAAGTAAATCAATGGGTACTTTTCAATTACAACGTTTAGCTTTATCAGGGGATGTGCATGTCAATCCTGGTCCGACAGTGTAGGAAAAGCCAAAATGCCCGACTTGTCAACGAACTATAGCTGTGAATCATCGTGCAGCTACCTGTGATTCGTGAAAGAAAATATTTAATATCAAATGTGGTGAAATAACAAGTAAACAATACAGAGTATTAACATCAGCAGAAACAATTGTTAAATGGACTTGCCCGGCGTGTGTTCTGGCTAGTCTGACTAGTTTGTCGTTTTCGACCCTGTCAGATGATATGTTTAATAACTTGTTTTCACAAAAAACGGGATCGAACTCAGAGATCGATTATTCCCAGCTAATTAATAAGAGTGACTCTAATTCAGCAGAGCTTACAGCCTCTGAATGGTTTAACACAAATATTAATAGCTATTACAAGAACAATTTAAAGATCGCTCATCTAAATATTAATAGCATTTGCGGGAAGGTAGGCTCAGATTCCAGCCGTTGTGTTCTCGCCACTCGCCCACTTAACGGCTGGGTCAATGAGCTTCGGCATTGTCCTGATTGACCAATCACATTACAGCCCCCCAAAATTTGGGGGGCATAAATTTGTATTAATAATGCATAAATTTAACACAAAGGTAATAAATTAAATATGGCTAAAGCGCATTGCTGAAGCGTTCGAGGTCGGCGTTGTGCAAATATGTGCACTTAAAAAGATCTGTTCAACGATATTTATACGTGAACTACATGGGTTAAAGCGATATTTTTTGGGGAAGAGTAATTCCGACGATTTTTACGACACGAACCGAAGTCTCTCTACGAATAATAGTCGCTGGAATGTTTTCGTCTTTTCGAATCCGTTGCATATTTTTATATTGTGTTTATAAATAATATATCTCATTGAGGATTCTTGGTCATGAAAGGGCAAAGAATATTTTGCGTGTGGCTGAGCAAAATTAATAACCTTTCTTTTTTAGCTTAGTTAGCTAGGTGGCCTAGTCCTTTGAAACGCTCCCTGTTTCTGCTGATTCATAATTATATTTACAATAAAACCTGGATGTGTTTATTATTGGGCTGGTCTGACATATTGCCAGGAAAGTAGAAAATGTTATTTTGCAAAGTCTTGTGACATATAGTATATTAGTATGTAGGATATTGCAGTATTTAAAAGGCTTATTTTAATTAATATTAAGACATGTTTATATGATCCTGTCAGGTGGGAAAGTGGGAAACCTTGCCAGGCAGCTAGGATGTCATGTTTATACATGATCACATGTTCGTGAGTGAGTTCATCAAATATATACATGTATTTTTGAACACGAGTTGATATGATAGTCAAGATCTTGGAAACTGCCTCATCCTGCCTGGCTGGAATTTTATAAACAGTCCCTTTCATGGAGACCATGGCTAGGTAATAATAGGCTTGCATGGTTAGATCTCCCACAAGCTAGTTTGGGCCATTTGACAATATTTTTTGGACTGGGCAGGTAATTTGTGAACTGAAACTGATATATCAGTGTGCTCATATATGCTAATTGCTAATTACAGGCAAGCACAATAAATTCAATATTATTTTATATATTGACAATATGATTTACCATGAATACTAATTGACTAAATGTGGGCACATAGTTATTAGAAGGGCAATAAATAAATCCAATTGGTATCATGTGTTTCTTTGTTGTGAAGGGGTAAAGAATGGGACTTGTTGGATAGCCTAAGTACAGGATTTATAGAATAAAAGTATGCAATGTTTTATAAATTCAGACATCAGTGAAATATGCATTTAGTCTGTTCAACAAGCTCAAATATGTTTGCTCTCAGGCTGAGTTTTGGAAACCTTGTCAGTATGGTATTAAGAAAAGGATAGTTGTCATGTCAATGTGTGTTTTAACGGCTGTTCGTATGAAAGCCAGACTGAGAATGACAAAGCATGATAAATTGCTAGTTCTGAAAGATTGAATATTTATTTAAGCTAATAAACAAGGGTTCAAAAAAATTGTTGCAGTAACACTTTAGTTAGAAAATATCAAAATGTTAAACACCAAAATTATCCTGGCATGGGGGATTAAGTTTTCATGGGGGAAAAGAAGGCAAATTCTTCTTGCATTCCTGCAGAGATGTATTCAGGGATGGATTTACTGGGGGGCACCCCCTTGCCCTGGCCAGGGGGGGGGTGCTATATTTTTCATGATAAAGCAAAAAATTATTAGAGACAAAATGACATACAGTAATTTGAGTAATAACATGATGATATGTGAAATGTGAACAACAATTACAATTGAAATACAGTAGTCAAGCAGGACTTTGCAGAAGTGAAGCAAGTTGATGGGCAGGTGGCACACATGACCGACACAACTCGGCACCAGAGCTGGCAGAGCACCCCCCTACCAGACCATGCTGGATCCATCCCTGGATGTATTTACTGCCATGGGGATGCACCCCCCATAACATTGGCAAAGGGGGTGCAAGGTGGGGGGGGGGGTATTTCATCAAATAATTTTTTTTCAATTTGGAAAGGCAATATCCTGTCACCATTACCACAATAATACCCCTCACTGCTGTGCGTAGCTACAAATGATTACTGACTTGGTCAACAGTCATACACTGAACCATATATGGGTCGATGAGCACACCCGGCCTCCATTTGTACAGACAACTTATGCAACACTGAAATAAAGCCAAGAACATTTTAAATTTCAAATATTCTTGCTACATCTAAAGACTGTTTAACCAAATCTATGAAGGTGCACAGTAAGGTACAGTTCAACATCAAACACTAGGTCTTCTATTTTGTAGCTTTGAAGTTTGCAGGCTTCCAGACCATCATAATGATCATATCTTGCCAGACTATTGTTTGGTCTATAAAAGACTTAGTTCCTTCACTGTCCCTCGAACAAAATCGATCATAAGGAAAATTTTTAGATATTAATCACAATTAGGCGTAAAATTGCATTACGTATAACTATAGTCCATAAACAACTCAAATATTAACATTAAATTTATGTTCCT